GAGGGACTTCTGAGTTGATGGAGGCATAATATCAGATCTGCTCTGCACGAGCATCCTGTGATTCAGTATCTCCTCCCACTGCATGCAGACACTGAACTTTCCTCATAGAGATTCATTGATTCAATTCACCTCTATGAGGAGATGCTGATTGGCCAGGGCTGTGTTTGAATCATGCTGGCTCTGCCCCTGATCTGCCTCCTTGTCAGTCTCAGGCAATCCTATGGGGAAGCACTGAGATTGGATCAGGCTATCACATGTCAGCAGAACAGCATGCAGATTTACAGCTTCTGGCTTGAATACAGTAAGATTTTTACTATATTTATGGAGGCATGAGGGTCCCAGGGGGGCTAGATGGTCATGTTAACACTATAGGGTCAGGAATACATGTAGTTGCACTGGTGACTATAGTGTCCCTTTAAAATTTTGAACCCTGGCTTACAGAGTTTTACACTTAAGTGTGAACTGTCAAATTCAAAGAGAATCCACATTAAATTTCACAATTAAGGCCAAAATTGCCAACGTGAAAAACACAGTTCTTATACACATTTTGACCTAAATTCAACTTGAATTTCCAAGATTGAATAATGAATGAGTCCTGTCAGTTGCCATTAGTCAGAAGTAGTGATGTCCCGAACGGTTCACCGAACGGTTCGCCACGAACGGTTCGCCACGGACTCATCATTGAGTAAACTTTGACACTGTACCTCACAGTCAGCAGACACATTCCAGCCAATCAGCAGCAGACCCTCCCTCCCAGACCCTCCCATCTCCTGGACAGCATCCATTTTACATTCATTGTGAAGCTGCATTCTTAGTGAGCTGTCCAGGAGGTGGGAGGGTCTGGGAGGGAGGATATGCTGCTGATTGGCTGGAATGTGTCTGCTGACTGTGAGGTACAGGGTCAAAGTTTATTCAATGATGAGTCCGTGGCGAACCGTTCGCGAACCGCTCGGCGAACCGTTCGGGACATCACTAGTCAGAAGATATAATTAAAATTGTTTAATACAAATTTCAAAAATATTTAAACATATTTATTGGGATTATTTAAAAATCATGAATGGTCTGCTCATTATTGTTCGGCATGAGCCTACAACATTTTTTGTATTTTATTGTACCCTAATGTAACAATGCAATGATTTGTGGACCCAGGACATACTTGAAAATGAGAGAAATCTCAATGTATCTTTCCTGGTAAAATATTTTATAAATACATTTTACCTACACCCACCTACCAGCTATTTCCTATGACACAATAACAAACTGTGCAGGTGGCAATATAATTGTAGTTTAAATATATTTTTTTCAGATGTTGTGATTTTGTTTAAATATGTTTTGCTGCTGAAAGATGCTATCATATGTTTACACCTACCTAAAATGTATAAAAGTAATATTTTATAAATATATGCGTAAATTGTACAGATTTACAAACAGATATTTTACAATGATGACGTTGCTTGTAGGTAAAGTTAAAGAGAGATAGAGAATGATTGCATTTTGACAGAGTTTCACATACTAAATCAGTTCATCTTAAAATGACAGCGGGTGCACTTTACAAGACTTTTTGACATGTGACAAATTGAAGACTTTGCAAAGTGACAAATTGCAGAAAGTCTCTCAAGGGAGAGTTTTCCTGCTGAGACTTATTAGCTTCCATATTCTTAACACATTGAGGACTTGATGGCTTTTGGTTCTTGCAAAGCAAAGCTTTGGGTTAATAAAGAGGTTTGATAGACATACTATATATACATACATATACTTTTCTGCCACTACATTAAAAACACATGCCTAGTATCGTGTAAGCCCCCTCGTGCTGCCAAAACAGGTATGCCAAAACAGGTATGATGCATCAAGGCATGGACTCCACAAGACATCTGAGCGTGTCCTATGGTATCTGACACCAAGACGTTAGCAGCCGATTCTTTAAGTCTTGCAATATACGAGGTGGGGCCTCCATGATTTGTTGTTCCAGCACATCTCACAGATATGTAATCAGATTGAGATTCCAAGGTTTTCCAGCAGTACATTGCACAGAGCAATGGCATTCCTTTTTCCCATAGTGCATCCTGCTGCCATCTCTTATCTAGGTAAACATCGCAGATGCAACCAGAAATCCAGTCATCCTTCTTTCATTGCTCCATAGTTCAGTTCTGACACTCATGTCCCCATTGGAGGTGTTTTCTGTGGTGGACAGAGGCCATCATGGATACTCTGAATGGTTTGCAGATACGCAGCCACATACACAGCAAACTGCAATGCACTGTGTGTTCTCACAACTTTTTGTCATGTACAGCATTATATTTTCCAGTAATTTAAGCTACAGCACCTCTTTTGTGTTTTGACTAGACAGGCTAGCCTTCACTCCCCATGTGCATCAATGAGTATTTACCATTTTGCAGGTTGTCTAACCTTGCACCACTTTTGGTAGGTAGTAACCACTACATACCGGGAACACCCCACAAAACTTGCCATTTTAAAGATGCTCTGACTCCGTCATCTAGCCTACAAACTTCCAAGGATGGTCAGCACTCAGAGTCCTTACTTTCTGTTAAAAATTAGCTTTTAAGGCACTGTCTGACAACGTTTCTGTTTAAAAACAAACTATCATCAAGACTTTCATCATTTTTATGATTAGTAGTTAAAAATATGGCCTTTAATTAAAATATCATCTAGTTGTGTATGTTTAAGCAATGTGTAATAAATACAGATCCCTGTAATAACAAAAGTTCTTTACATCTATACCAAATAGGATGGTTGAGTTAGAATAAAAGCATATGTACTCTGCTCACTGGATCCACATGTCCCCCTTACTGCATATGCAGTTGTGAGAGAGTGTATATATAAAGTGGGAGTTACACAGTTATTCCTGACTATGACCATGTACTAGGTGTAAAGATTATGTATTCTAACAATGAGGAATACTCCGGAATTCTTATCAATCAAAGATAGACACAAATAGTGATCCACCCATTCTAATGCCCCATATGAAGGAAACTGTGCACTAACACAAATGGAACCCTTATATGGCCTTGCCACTCATTTGCCTTCCTTTTATTATGAAATTGAGGTGATTAAAGAATGGGCCAATACACGTATCTACTATTTCATAAATATTCTCCATAGTCCCTAAATGTTTCTATACCCCTAAATAGCAATATCATGAGTGTCTAATGTATCTGATGCTAAAAGTACACAGTTGTTCACATCATGCCCCTAAATATATACTGATAAGAAGGTGTGTCTTTCCTAACCTGTAAAATTATATAATTTAATACATTAATCCAGCTTTGTCAAACAAAGTCCAAGAATATGCATCTTCCCCCACGACACTAAAGTAAATAAAAGTTGAGTTTTCAAGGCAAACATGAAAAATGAAAAAAAAAAAATGAAAAACTAAAAATAACACTGGGCAATTATATCTGCCTAACCGATAACCTTATATCATTAATTTGCTATTAAGTTAATACATAAATTCTAGATATTTTGCACTAATAACCTGTAAATGTTAAATCAAACTGTGTAGTAATGAACAATAATACTTTTTATTATATGTTAAATGGTGTATGATTAATTAGCGATAAATTAGTAATACTTTTAGAATGAGCACAAATAATAGAAAATAGAATAAGCCCTAAAAGGCAACTTTACGTACAATTGTAAGCAGGCAGCATATACTGGTAGTAAGGGATACCCTCAGCCCCTTACTGATTAATATAGAGCAAGATAATACAAAATATATGTACAGGTTGTGCCAAAATAAAAAGTCCAATAGAATATCAGATGCTTGGAGTATTCTTTATTTGTAAATCATCCAGGCTTCTGATGGTGGCAGGTATATGTAATAAAGAAGAAATATAACCAGTAATGGTGCAGAGTACCTTTGAGCACTCACATTAAGTAGAGCTATAAAATCAGCACTGAGTATAACAATGTGCAGAAGTACAATCCCCACTGACGGATATGTTGTTCTAGGAGTCAGTCACTCAGCATGTTGGAGAATATATACAAAAGGCAAAACATAGTGATTTCTGTGAAGCTGTACACTAGTAATTATAGATACAAGTAATATACTCACATTTCATGGAGCAATATACACTTGGTTGGTACAATCCCTACTAGGGATATAATGTAGAGTAGCTCCTCCAAAGGATAGTTCTTCCCAGGATACAGGTATAAAGTAGGCAATGGTGGTATACATGTGCCAGAAACAGTAAACTGTTCTAAACTGTTCTAAATACTTTTAGAATAACTGCACTATAGATGATTAGTTGGGTTCTAATCCCCTAGGAAATGTTAATTGAGAAATAGAGTTATCAGGATCACAGTATGTGGTGTCAAACATTGATGTCCTAATGGATTAAAAAGAATCATGGAATTAAGATCTGTGCTATCACGGCATAGTCTGAATGCTTTACTTGTGTGACCACAGGGCTACATATTCATATTATCAACAATTGTCATTGGCAACTAAAAGATGGTAGCTTTGGTTTGTGCAAAATGTCACCAACCGGGACCATGAAAATGTTTTATACTTTGGCCGTCAACAGTGAAGCTTTTGGTTATAAAGCTAATTAAAATAAAGCTCATATTAACAATTGCCATTAAAAAGCATAAAAAGAAATGATAACACATATTTTAGAAAATACACAGAAGTAAATATGAGCTTTCAAAGCCGTTGCATCACGTCAGCTCAGCATCCCATAGATTGTTGCTTTTTATGTGCAAGTGTAATTAGTCTTTTAATTTCTCATTTATTTTAAGAAGAAGAAAAGGTTGTTGATAGTAAAGCGTTGGAAACACAGTAATTGTGGAAGAGAATAGCAGTCAGTGTAATTCTACAGGCATGCTTGTAATCAGAGCTCATTGGCAATGCAGTCCAGGCTGTGAGAGCATTATGTATTCTTCTCATGTTTCACATAAATGCATCCTGTCCCTCATGAGAGGATGGGCAGCTCTTTTGCTCTGCCTCATTCAAAGTGAATGTTAGTAAAAGGAGAATATTCAGCAAATACACAGCGGTCTGGGATTTTCAAGCCATGAAAAAAAAGATTATGTCATTTGCAGCTCCTCTTTCGTTGGATGAGGCGAGATCCACTGTACTTGGTGTAGTTTTTGCGATGGACTGCAGTATTGCGTGCTGTACCTACTGGAAACAGGAATGATAATTCAAGGATAACTAGCCCGGCTGGAGTTTACATCATTGCATCAAATGCCTGTTTCACCTGTTGTTTAATGCGCTGGCTTGTAAAGTATTAATGAAGATACATTTATGTTCTGTACTGGTGTATTCTGACTTTATTATTATTATTATTATTATTATTAATAACACCTAGTTGAAGATGAATGTAGTGCAGATCAATATGTTGCACTGCCTCTTCTAATAAACATATCAGAAGGCAAACGATCTAACTGTACTTTGTTACAGCCATTTTACTTAGTATGAAAGAAAAACAACCGCAGCCTCAGACAGGGGAGAGAAAGAACATCTTTGACATGTTTATCCACAATCCATTCAAAGATAGTGGCACAGTACAGAGACAGCTGCTTTTTCGTGTGTGAGATACAGACATCACTTTGCTGTTGTAGTCTTGAGACAAAAACTGCAAGTGACGAGTAAAACAGGTAAGGTAAAATACTCTTCTTTTAGGAATATTCTCATTAATGAATACTGCACAATGTTCTAATTTTCTCAAATATCTCAGCATCATCATTTCATTGTACTGAATGCTTGTGTTAAAGAAACCAGGGGAAAACAGTTTAAGGGTTACAGTTTTGAGGTTGAATACTGTGTTTTAACTATTATGTTTTGTTTAATCTTTTTCAACGCTAGAAATTTACTGCATGCCATTCCAAGTTGTGTTTTGTGAAATCTGCAAAACAGAAAAAAGATAAACTGTTATAGGGTCATAGGTCCCTGTGATTGTGAATATTGTCATACAAGATTTGTAATGGATATTCAGTGATGCTTACATGGAATTTTGAATTCTTCATGATGGAAGTATATGTACTTCATGGAAGTGAAATTTTTGTGAGCAGAATATATGAAAAGAATATAGTAAGGTATGAATGCTAATCGAATATGTGTAAGCCCAAGAAATACTGGAAATAAGGGCAGCTGACTCTGTAAAATACCTACGTATATCTGAATAGTATTATATATTTTTAATAAATATTGCATTTCCCACTGACAGCGATAACTTCGATCTATTGGTTTGCTGCTTGTACATTCATAGTTATAAAATATGCTGCAGAAAAAAAGTAAAACACAATTTCAAAAAATGATGTTCCTTTGCTGAACATGACGGAGTTTTATAGTATCACAAAATATGTATTTTTTATTCCTTATCATTGATTTAATATGAAATCATTTATAGAATAGAGTTTATGTTTATATTGTCATTTTTACAAATGATTATACTTATAATCAAAATGTTTATTTTTTTGATATGCAAAAAAAATCAGATTAGGGTATTTTGACTCTTTGCTAAATATAGGAAATAAAAGGGATTTTTTATGCTGACTCACAACCTTTTCCTATATAGAGTACAAATTAAAGGAAGATGTCTCTATTTAATCTTCTATTGAGAAATTTATTTGTGTTTACAAGGTGTACGCATTTGATTTTCAGAACATGTTCAATATGGTTACTTTCATGTACGTTGGTGAAAATAGAAATTATTGAGTCACACATTTCAAATTAGTTTCAAGGCACTTTGCCATTGAAAGGCTTGTCTTCAAAATAGTTACTTGACACTCCTATCCTTCAGTATGAACTAAACACAATTTAATTGGCTTCCAGTGCAAGCACTGTGTAAACAACCCGCTTTTGTTTATCTACATGGTTCTTCCAAATCTCTATAGACAGGGAGCAGTAAATAGTTAACTCTTCACTCCAAGGGGTTTTGTTTTGGGTGTTATGTAACCATTGGATATACTAATTAATAAGACAAAAATGTTCAGTACAGTTGGATCACACATGGGATGTACATTTGACATGCTCTTCATTAAACTACACTAAAATAATCAAAATAATCAAGGTGATTGGTGAAATGTTAACAATTGTATAAACATATACATCATTCATACTTAAAAAAAAATAAAAAGTTTAAAAAAATTAAGTCAATTAAAATCAGGTGTCAACCTCAACATGAAATGAAACTAGAGTACTTAAAGCAATTGGTCATTCTATACTGGTATAGGGTTTGCATGATCTAGATTGACATAACAGCAAGAAATGTCATTGGTCCTTATGTTGCTACCAGCATTTGTAAATTGTACATGATGTAGTTTCACAAATATCCTCAAGGATGTCCAGGAGTACGCATTTGGTTTCCTAAGTGTAGCGTTCAATTTATCAATGTTTTATTAGACAATATCCATATGAACCACTAACCATAAAATAATACATGTAATGAAGGCACTAGAAACCAGATTATACATATTTATGGATTCAATGGAATTTATTCACTAAATGTGCAATTGCTGCGAAAGTTTTCAAATTTTCTAAAAAATTTGCAAAAAATTGAAATAATTCTGCAACTGATATTTTTCCTGCACCATCTAAACTTTACAATTGTCGATCTCTGACAGTTTCCAATTTACTGATACTGATAATGTTAGAACATCTAATGTGAATTACTACAATGCCCAGACAGGGGTATTTGACCAATCTTGTTTGAACTGCATAGCAAAACAACTCCTAGTACTCCCAGGCAGCTGTAAGGTTGATTTTCTAGTATCCACTCTTTCTTTATATTTTAACATTTAAAAACTTAAAATAAATTGACTACTGTAAACACAGTCTGCAGTACCTGTCATGCACATGTAAATATTTAAAGCCTGAGGGGTGAAAACTGTAAAATTTACATAGCTTACATAATTTGTACCTGGGAAGTATTCAGGTTTCCATGATGTTTAATAGCATGTGTTTATACAAGCATCACCCTAGGCCATGCGTGACAGCTTATTTAGGTCTTTATTGAAATTAGGTTTAAATTGACAAAAAAAAAAAATTCTTATATCATTTTGGCAAAACAGATTGAGTATTTTATTTCACTTTTGTATTCAGTCAAAATGTTTACATAAATTTGTATATCAAGAAGCTGTTTAATTATAAGAATCATGCTAATAAATTCAGTATATACTTGAATGACACAAAGCTATTATGCACTTTCCTGTTATACTGTCTTGAGATATGGTAAGGGGATCTATTTTTATTTGTGTATTTATGTTTTATTGTTTTTTTTTTATCAAGGCCAGGAAGAGAGGGTTGATGAGCTTATATCTCTGTATTTGAAACAGAATCAGTTTGAAATGAAACATGTTCCTTTAGAACATCAAATAGCAAGATTATCTGTTAAATGTTAATTATGGTAACATTATTATGTATTCTGCAGTAGTCAAATCTTCAATTATTTAAAGGAACACTGACATCCTCTCAATGTAATTAGTCAAACCATTTCCTAATGGTTTAACGTCTTACCTGGGTTCCAGCTGGGCCCTCCTGACCTGTCTTGTTTATGTAAGACACCTGGAAATTCCTGCTAGAATTGTTTGTTCTCTCCTGAACTAACTCCTTCTGTGAGAGCATCAGCTGATCATTCTCAGCCAATGAGCTAAAGCCGAGCTTAGCGCAAAGCAAAGAGCTTCCAACTGCAGAGGAACAGAGAACGCCGCATGCTGGACCCCAAGTAAGAAGTCAAACATGACAAACTCATATAATAACTACCTATATTGCGACTGGTCACTCCTGCACTACAACAACTTCAGTACTCTGTATTTGTTATGGATTTTGGGTTTAAAGTGTTCCTTTAAATACAGATTCAATTACTTGATTCTCCCATTCTACAGATATAGGTGTGTACTGACTAACATTGCGTGTATATATATATATATATATATATATATAAGAATCAGCGCACTCAGTGGACTTGTGTATAAGGAAAATCAAAACCTTTATTCACATAGCAAATTGGTCAAAATCCTGATGAAAGTACAATAACGGACTGAAACATTGACCAATTTGCTATGTGAATAGAGATTTTGAATTTCTTTATACACAAGTCCACAGAGAGCGCTCCACCTGCTTCATTATATATTGTTGGCACCATGGCATTTTTTCTTTACGGAGATGTTGAGTGCACCAAATCTATTTATATATATGTACTACATTGAACCACTAATTACACTGCTGTCAGGTGAAATGTGAAAGCTATTCTAGTGCTGTTTAATTATTTCACTTTATATCATCAGACCAGCTAACGATATATATCGGCCTACCTCATATCCTCAGATACTCCAAGAATTGTAAATTTGAGAATGGCCTTTTTCACCTTTGAATCTCCCCTTTCTATAATTGTAAAGCACTGCAGATATTGGTGGTTCTACATAATTGCTAAAATAATAATATTTAAATTAAAATTGAGGTATAAATAATATATAATGTATAAATAAAATGATTGTTGATGGCTTGCTTACTTGCTGTTAACTGCTTACTTACTGTCTACAAGTTAATTTTACTTTTTGAAGTAAGACCCGTGATGCCGATTGGCTCTTCCTTGACAGGTGACTTTTACCGCTCAGCATTTAATAAGTGCTTCTTAAAAACAAAACAAATTCAACAGAATTAAGAGAACGAGTCCTCAAATATGGGTCACCTTCAAGCAACTAGCTTGAATTGACTTACTTCAAGCCTGCGTCCCTATACCATACTTCCCAATGTTGGAAGAAATGCCTACGCTCTGTGTGTTTGTGTGTTTGACTGTGTAAGTGTGCATGTTTGAGTGTGTGGGATAGTCTTAACCTTTTCTAAAATTTTCATAGCAGGTGTTTACATCTTACTTCCAAAAAATCTATTTTTTTTAGGTCTCTTATTATTATTATTTTATTATTTATATAGCAGCATAACATTCCATAGCGCTGTACAATGGGAGAACTAACAGACATGTACCATATATACTCAAGTATAAGTCTAGTTTTTCAGCACATTATTTGTGCTGAAAAACCCCCACTCGACTTATACTCGAGTCAGTGTCTGTATTAAGGCAACTTACATTGCCATAATACAGACCAGGACCGCCGGGCTCATTACAAGCCCGGCGGTCCTGTTGGGGGCTGGCAGATAGCTGTTACTTACCTTTCTGCAGCTCCTGTCAGCTCCCTTCTCCTCCACTGTAAGTCTCGCGGTGTGACTCGTGGAGCTGACCAGACCAGAGGAGAAGGGAGCTGACAGTAGCTGCAGGAAAGGTAAGTAACAGCTCTCTGCCAGACCCCCTTCTACACAGCCCATCCACTGGACCACCAGGTAATGAGAGTCCCCCTCCCTGGCCAGCTAACAAGCAGGGAGGGGGGGATGAAAATAAAAATTAAATAACAAAATAATAATATTACAATAAAAAAATGTAAATATTAACATTAAAAAAGTAAATAATAAAATAAAAAATACTAAAATAAAAAAAATTAAATATTAAAATTAAAAAATTTTTAAATAATAAAAATGCCCTCCCCCACCCAGTTCACAAACAAACACACACTCATACAAACACACCCTCTGCATTGTATATACACACACACACACTGCATTATATACACACACACTGCATTATATACACACTCATACAAAC